TCTTCCTCTCTCCCACCCTACTTCCTAAATGAAATGTTAAGTTTTTCTCAGGAGTTCAATTGCAGAGTACATTAAATAGCATGCTTACTGAATTACAACAAGGACGCAAGAGAAAAAAAAAAAAAAAACTCTTTAAATTGATAATCAGTTGGACCAGTTTTTTCTTTTTGTTTCTGTTATTTTGTACTCCACATTATTTACTTTAAGATTTTTTTCCAGTTTCACAGAGGTGTAATTGACAATTAAAAGTCAAATATATTTAATGTGTACATACGATGTTTTCTATACATAAACATTGTTAAATGATTGCCATAAACCAGTAATAAATTTTATATTGTTGTAGTTTCTCTAAGTGTAGTAGAATCATGAATGAAATCAGAATTATTTATTCCTTTCATACCTTCATATCACAATATTCTCAAATATTTTTAAAAATATTTGGGTAATAAGAGCTCCTTTAAGGTGGTCTTCCACTTCCACCCATTACTTTACTAACTTTCTATTCTGATTATGTTAAAGAGTAACTCTGTTCTCTAGGAAAGGTCTGATATAAACTCCATCTTCTAGACTTCTGAAATATTCAGACAAGAAGCCATTTTAAAGCTGAGGTGTGTCGGGAACAGCAGTTAGCATAATGGCTATGTCACTGGGCTCCCATTGTAGTCAACCACGGTTCGAGTCCCAGACCTAGTGGCTTAAACTCACACAGGGCACGTGTGCATGGGTACCCAATATCCCGAGAGGAGAATGGAGGACAAGGAATTGCGGCATGGTCATCACCCCTGGGGGGTAATTTCTCACTTTCTGTCTCTCTGCCTCTCTCTGTCTTTCTGGCAAGTGCACACACCCTATAGCAAAAATCTCTGCAAAAAAAAAAAAAAAAAGATAAAAGAAAAAAGCTGAGGCGTGTTCTGGCCTGTTAAGGGAAGCTATGCTCTAAAATTCATTACTTAGAATCCTGAAATCTTCACACAAGAAGCCATTTTAAAGCTGAGGTGTGTTCTGGTCTTCTCAGGGAAGCAATGCTCTAAACATTATCTTCTAGACTCCTGAAATATTCTGACAAGTGGAGGAGAGATTTTGTTACAGAATAACCAGAAACCACCAAGGAGTTACAAAAAAACATGAGAAACCAAGAAAATATCTCTCTCTCTTAAGGAAAAAAAACAATCCTTCATATCCACAGACAGTATAGTAGAACTTGTAAAAATGTTTGATAGAGAATTCAGAATATTCATAGTGAGAAAACTAAATAAGATGCAAGAACTGAGGGATAATAAACTCCAGAAGATGCAGGATAAAAGAGACAATGAGTTCCAGGAGATGTTGAACTTCTTCAATGATCTGAAAGAGGAAATACATACCATAAAAAAGAATCAAATGGAGCTATTAGAATAAAGGCTGCCATCCAGGAAATCAAAACCTCCCTTGAAAGTATTAAAAAGCAGATTAGTTCATGCAGAAAATCGAATCTCGAATTTGGAAGTCAAAACCTCTGACCTAGGGACCAGCAGTTAGCGTAATGGCTATGTTGCTGGACTCCCACATAGTCGACCATAGTTCACATCCTGGACCTGGTGGCTTAAAACTCACGCCGGGCGTGTGTGTGTGCATGCCCAAGATCCCAAGAGGAGGATAGAGGAGAAGGGGGTGATTTCTCGCTTTCTATGTCTCTGTCTCTCTCTGTCTGGCAAAAAACAAAACAAAAAAAAAAAAAAAAAAAAAAAAAGAAAGAAAAGGAAAACTTCTGACCTATAAAAAACAGAAAATAACCTCCCCAAAATGAGAATATTATACAAGAAATACTAGACAGAATTAAGTGCCCAAACATCCAGATAATCAGTATCCCAGAAGGTGAGGAAACTAATAAAGGCACTGATAACCTGTTCCATGAAAACTTGGAAGGAAACTTTTCAAATCTAGAGAGGCATTCAAATATCCAGACCCAAGAAATACGAAGGACCCCTAATATAATCAACCCAACAATATCTTCTCCAAAGCACATCATAGCCAGACTAGTCAAATCTACAAAGACAAGATACTAAAATTGGAAAGAGAAATGTCAGGTTATTTATAAAAGTTATCCAATCAGGCGAACCTCTGACTTCTCATCAGAAACTATGAAAGCAAGGAAAGAATAGGAAAATATATTCAAAATGTTAAATGAAAAACAGTTTCAAACAAGAATACTATACTAGGCAAGATTATCTTTTAAACAGAAAGAAAGGATAAAAACATTCTCAGATAAACAAGTCTTGAAATAATTTGCCAATAG